ATATTTCCCACGGCTGGACGTTTCCCTGGGTTTTTATTGTCGCCCTCTGTTTACATCTATTCCAAGTGTAAAAAAAGAAATTTCTGTCCAGTGGGCCAGACCATAAGCTAAGTACTAGTCACATTAACAGCAGATACCAATTGGTTGCTCTCTGTCCAATGATTACTCTTTGCTCTCCCAGATGTAAAATGATACTAAAATTGATATGGGTTAGGACTGCTATGGAATAACTGAGAAATTCTTCCCCCAAGAAAAAACAGGACAGACGCCAGCCGAAAAGTATTTCCAGAAGGCCTGCAGACACTATGTAGCCTGATAAATATTTTCTGTCCTAAGTGTATTTATTCCAGTACAGTATGAGACATCCACCACACCCTTCCCCCCATAAAAAAAATTAAACGACTCATTAGCACTGTTCAGATATCTTCAATAGTTTGTCTTTTTCTGAGAAACTATTAGGGTTCCCAAATCCCCCCGGGGGGCGGATTTCCCCCCGCTTTCAAGGCCCGATTCCCGCTCCCACGGAATCGGGGCCCGGGGGAAACCCCACCCCCACGTGCGCACCACCGGAAGTGACGTCGCACGCTGGGGGCGGGGCCACGCCATTTGAGGGGAAAACTCTTTGTTTTCCCCTCAAATGGTGTGGCCCCGCCTCCCCCAGCGCGCGACGTCGCTTCCGGGTGATGTACACGCGGCGCACGCGCACGATTTAGACACCGGCCGGGAGCCCCCCGCTCCCGGCCAAAATCCATTTGGCAACCCTAGAAACTATGGTTCCTGTGGCTTGTGTGACCACAATATCTGATAGAGACCAATGCTGTGTTCACTTTTATTAATGGTTAAATAATCTTATTTTCCTCACCACCCAACAGACACTTGATCACGATTTATAGTTTTCTGTCTTTCTATCCGCTAAGGAATTAATGTGGACAGCAAAGGACAGAGATTTTATCTAAAAGAGCCAAACGTGCTCTGTTTAACCAGACCCTCGCTAAAGCCAGCGCTGTATATATGAGCCGCCTCCTCTTGCTCAGTCAATGTTCCTCACACTGCTGACCTAAATGAAACACACTCTGAAGGCCTGAACCACAAGAAAACTGTAGCCTCGTTGTGTAGATTCCTAAGAGAAAGCTGAAAGGTTACAGACATGGGCTCTGATCTGTTTGTATAATTCTGTGTTTTGATTATTTTAATAGATAATTTCTGTATAGTATTCACGGTTGCCAGCTCCATCTTGACAAATCCCCAGATATTTAGGGCTGTGCAATTCCTGGATATTTGGGGGTGTAGCCTGGGAAAGATGGGGTGTGGGCAGGGCTCTTTTTGTAGAAAAAGCCCAGCAGGAACTCATTAGCATAGTAGGCCACACCCAACAGCAGAAACTCATTAGCATGTTAGGCCACACCCTGACAGCACAGCTCATTAGCATATTAGGCCACACCCCCATGTTGCCAGAAGTGTGGTCATCCAGCCACACCCACCTTTTGCTTCTTATTCTCTTTACCTTCTTTGTTGTCCAAACCCAGAGCTTTTTTGTAGCAGGAACTCCTTTGCATGTTAGGCCACACACCCCTAATGTAGCCAATCCTAATGAGTTCCTGCTGTTGGGTGTGGCCTATTATGCTAATGAGTTCCTGCTGGGCGTGGCCAACTTGGCAGCCAGCCAGAACTCCGTCCCTGTGTGTTCCTACCCAAAACTAGCCCTGGGGGGATGCAATAAACCTCAGTGAGATATAATGCCACAGAGTCCACCCTCCAAAGCAGAGATTTTTCCCTAGAGGGAACAAGCTCATAGTCTGGAGATCAGTTATAATTCTGAGCAGTCACCAGGCCCCACCTGGGGGTTGGTAACACTAGGACAGTGGACTCTGGGGGAAGGAGGGGGCTCAGCAGGGATGTGATACCACAGAGTCCATCCTCTGAAGCTGCCATTTCTTTCAGGGGAGCTGATCTCTGTAGTCAGTGATAATTCCGGAACTCCAGTCCCTAGCAGGCCCTGACCTAGATAGCCCGATGTCAGGTAGCCCTGTCACAAGTCTGGAACGTGGAGGGGTGCCCTCCCGTTTTCTGTCTCAGCTTTCCCTGGCTCACCAACTGTTGCTATCTTATGCTTGACCTTGTAGATGCTACAGCTGCAGCTTTTCTCAGCTGGGAAAGTTAACTGCTTTTTCGCTTTGCCTGCTTGCTTTGCCTGCCCGCGCGAGATGTATCCATTGGCTTCCGCAACGGGCATTATTTCTAGTTCTAGTATAAGTCAGAGGCTTATTTGCAGCCATTCCTGACACAAGCTGTACACGTATCTCTAGTACTGGATTTACCAATAAACAGTTATCTTCTTATGAAGCCCTGTGTTGTGTAACCTGACTAGGACCCTGACACCCAGGCTAGCTGGATCTCATCAGATTTCAGAAGCTAACCAGGTTCAGCTCTGGTCAGTACTTGGATGAGAGACCACCAAAGAATACCAAGGTCATTATGCAGAGGCAGGCAATGACAAATGATCTCATCTTCTCTTGCCTTGAAAACCCTACAGGGGTGCCATACATTGGCTGCAACTTGACAGCAAAAAAATAAAAATAAAATAAGTCCCCAGTGGAGGTTGATAACCCTAATAGTATTTGAACAAAGTTTGAGTCCAGTGGCACTGTGGTATAGCCACATCTGCTCCAATCCTACATACAGAGATTCTCACCTGAGGGATCTACAACACACCTTTTTGGAACTAAAATATCCACCTGATGGAGTCAGGAAACAGATTAACAAAGCCAGAATGGCACCCAGAAAAAACCTGACGCAAGAGAGGCCCAAAAGAGACAATAACAGAACACCACTAGTGGTCACATACAGCTCAACACATCATACAGCTCACAAACAGTTCAACACATCATCAGCAACTTACAACCTCTACTGGATAATGACAGTTCTCTTTCACAAGCATTGGGGGCAAACCTTTTCTTGCAAGTTTTTCCTGTAGCTGCCATTTTGCAAGATGGCGGATCTTTTTTCACATTCTCTGGTTGCAAAAACAGTAAACACAATAAATAAATAAATAGATTCTTGTAGGATGCTCATATTGGTGTCAAACCATATGTTTTTGGGGTCAATAAAACCAAATCCACTACTCCTGTGGTTGTAAAAACAAAAGTATTATTCTTTCAGATTTGTAGTACTTGGGGGGGAAGGATAAATCCAGACAAGCTGTAATGTTTTAATGTTTGTAATATTGGGACACAAAGCAGCAGAAGTATTGTTAAGATGACAGTTCCTAAAAGTACAGAAAATTCTTCATTCTGCTGCCTTAAATAACATTTAAAAATATTACAGTTCTTGTTTGATATTTATCATGCTTATATGTTGGTTAAACACGCTCATTCTTAAAAAAGAGTTACATTCCTAATACAAAAAAGTAATTTACTATACAAAATGTAGGCTACAGGGAAAATGGCCATCTCTACAACTAATATAATAGTTTATTTGGCTTTATTGACATCAAAAACATATTTGACACCAAGATGAGCATCCTACTTTAAAATATCACAATAACCATATCCGCCATCTTGGGAAATGGCAGCAACAGGAAAAAACGTCCCAAAATTGGAATGTCTACCCAAGCAAATTTTAAAGTAGTAGTGCCCTGAAACACATAGGTAAAGGTAAAGGTTCCCTTGCTCGAAAGCCAGTCGAATCCGACTCTAGGGTTGCAGTGCTCATCTCCGATTCAAAGCCGAAGAGCCAGCGCTGTCCGAAGACGTTTCCGTGGTCATGTGGCCGGCATGACTAAACACCAAGGCACACAGAACACTGTTACCTTCCCACTGAAGTGGTCCCTATTTATCTACTTGCAATTTCTTGCTTTCGAACTGCTAAGTTGGCAGGAGCTGGAACTAGAGACGGGAGCTCACTCTGTCATGCGGCACCCGGGTCTCGAACTGCTGAACTACCGACCTTCCAGAGCCTGCAGTTCAGCGTCTTAACCACTTGAGCCACCGCAGCTCCATCTGAAACACATACAAACAATAAAATTCTCTGTATATACATTTGGGGGGGGGGGTATACAATGATCCAGGACTATATAAGCAAATCTGCTGTTATGGCTAAAGAGTCATACTAAGATCTGACAGCCAGAGTGGTGCAGTGGTTAAGAATGGCGGACTCTAATCTGGAGAACTGGGTTTGATTCCCCACTCCTCTCCATGAAGCCTGCTGCATGACCTTGGGCACGTCATAGTTCTGGCACAGCTGTTCTTGAAAAAGAGAAGTTTCTGTCAGAGCTCTCTCAGCCCCACCTACCTCACAGGGTGTCTGTTGTGGGGAGGGGAAGGGAAAAGGAGTTTGTAAGCGGCTCTGAGACTCCTTTGGGTAGTGAAGGGCGGGGTATAAATCCAATCTCTTCTTCTTCTTTATTGGGCTTCTTATGTAAATATTGCCTCCACACAGAAAACGATCACGTCTGAGAGAAGGCTGGGTAGAAACCCTGTCCCTGACATGCTGGTTTTCTCTGGGTTGGATCTGATGAACTCTGAGGAGAGTCATCCCATTGAGCGTTGCAGCTCAATCAACATGTAAATGTGAGCTCCCTGTCCAGAAATTCATAATTTCCATTCTTAAGACCTCCCTCCAGGCGGAAACTGTCATGATTCAGATTGCCCTTAAGAACACATCACCCAGTTTTGCTAGAAAACCTGGTGGACGCAAGATGAACAAAGCTGACTATTCGGTGCCTCATATCAGTTTGCCTATATTTAAACCAGATCGACTTCCCTCAGAACAGCCAGCAGTGAGTTATTCTTGGCATTCATGCTGCTGGCTACTTCCAACAATTAGTTCAGTGATTTTACTTTACAAGTTGCATAAAATACATTTGCTAGCAACCTGAGGTTTATATCCCTGATTAATTCCTCATGTTGCTAATTGCAGAAACATACTGATTTGGCTACAATGTTGGAATGGCCCCGATATATTGCAATTACACGAACCAAAAAAAAAAGGCTATTGTTCACCTTTTCTGCATCTTGCTCAAAGAGTCGAAGTTGAAAGCACTGGTCCAGTTTCAGTTTGCGGACATGCCACATCTGATGCAAGTGTTGCCGTGTTGAATGTAGTTTGTCCAAGAGACTAGTGATCTTTGGCACAAGACTTTGGAAGTCCGCACTGCCGGGAATGCAGTTCCTCCCAGAAAAACCATCACTGCACCTTATGCACTGTAACAACCTCTGACCCTCACGGTCCAATTCTTCCACTGGAGCTTTAATTACTTTCTTCTTTAGCTGTGTGTGTTCATCTATCAGTCTTCTTGAGCCTTCAACGTCCACCGGAAATTCTTTCCTGGCCAACATTTCCTGAAGGTCCTCTAGCCTAGACAACAAATGGATGGCACTATTGAAAAACTCTTCCAAGGAGACCCTCAACTCTATCCATTCATCGTGATTGTAATCCAAGGATCCTTCAAACTCCTCTGTTAGCTGGGAGGGATCGACCAGCTTCGCTAGGCCTTCAACTGAGACCATACTTGTCTGGAAAGAGAGAAGTAATTTTTTTAAAAAACGGCAAGTTTCCATTGAACAAAATAGATAACATAATTCATTAACTATCATTAAATATTATCAAGCAGTATGTAAGAAAAGGTAAAGGTTCCCTAGCTCGAAAGCCAGTCGAGTCCGACTCTAGGGTTGCGGTGCTCATATCCGTTTCAAAGCCGAAGAGCCAGCGCTGTCCGAAGACGTTTCCGTGGTCATGTGGCCGGCATGACTAAACACCGAGGCGCACAGAACGCTGTTACCTTCCCACCGAAGTGGTACCTATTTATCTACTTGCAATTTCTTGCTTTCGAACTGCTAGGTTGGCAGGAGCTGGAACTAGAGACGGGAGCTCACTCAGTCATGCGGCCCCCGGGTCTCGAACTGCTGAACTACCGACCTTCCACAGCCTGCAGTCCAGCGTCTTAACCATTTGAGCCACCGCACCTCAATGCAGTATGAGGGAGAGGCAATAAAGTGGCAAAACCCTGCCAGCCAGATGGGGCAAGAGCCTTTCCCTCTTCCCCTCCACTCCTGGCTGTGATGATAGTATGGCCACCTTCAAGGAGCTGGCAAGAGGGAGCTCCAACACAAATGAACGGCAAGTAAGGGCCTCTGCCCAGCAGTTGCTATAAGTGAGGGGGACCTCTCCCACTTATGGCAATGACAGCAGCATCACATGTTGTACCAAAACAAAAAAAATCAGCTGACCTCGGGCTCTGATCCCACCACCACCACCACTTCGGTGTTGACTAGGTGGGAGCTTTGTTCCTCTGCATGCCCATTCTACCGGCCTGCTCTGGACAGCCCTCAGTCTTTTAACAAGATTCACAGCCACTGACTTTTATTTATTTATTTTTTAATTTTTTAAAAAAAAATTATTTCTGCATCTATATCCCGCCCATCCTGTAGGGCTCAGGGTGGGTTACAACATTTTAATAAATACAATAAAATTTAAAACACATTAAAACATATAAAATCAGTTGTCATGCCTGCCGTCGGGAGAATCCGGCCCATTGATGTAACTGGGTATGGCCGGTTATCAGTAGGTGGGAGCCAGTTGGGTGTAGTGGTGAAGTGCGCGGACTCTAATCTGGGAGAGCCGGGTTTGATTCCCCACTCCTCCACTTGCACCTGGCTGGATGACCTTGGGCAAGCCGTAGTTCTGATAATGAGCTGTTCTTGAAAAAGAGCCGTTTCTGTCAAGAGCTCTCTCAGCCCCACCTACCTCACAGGGTGTCTGTTGTGGGGAGGGGAAGGGAAAGGAGTTTGTAAGCCGCTCTGAGACACCTTTGGGTAGTGAAGGGCGGGGTATAAATCCAATCTCTTCCTCTTCCTCTTCACATGCACAGACTGTTTGTATGAATAATCCCATCGCTCCCTCCCCCAGTTCTTCAGCACACAGGCAGGATTACAATACTGTTCACAATAGTTCTATCCAGGGGTCTTGTTGTAGAAAAAGAGCTGCCGGAGCTCATTAGCATAACTCATTAGCATAACTTATTTGCATATGCCACGCCCCCTGACATCACCGGAAGTGACAGAAGGCCACACCCCCTGACATCACCGGAAGTGTGTCAGAAGGCCCGGCTACTTACCCTCCTGCTTCATCCTCATTCCCAAACGGAATGAGGATCGAAGCAGAGGGCGGGGTAAAGAAGGGGCGGGGCTTCACCACGTGACCGCCCCGCCCCCTAGAGGTTCTCTTCTGGAGCTCCGTACCTGAGAGCTCCCCCCCGACTAGAGCCCTGGTTCTATCCAATAGATATGTGTTAATTTTCATTTTTAGTTGGATAAATCAGGGAATGTCTGGCTGGGGAATGAGCTCTGGTTCAGTGCTACTCATCACAAGTATAATGCACAAAACACTCCTCTGCGGAGTCTGTCTGGATCTCATTTGTGAGTGGGGCCATATGGGTAAATGCCCCACAGGGCATAAAGAGAGGATATAATTTTTTAAAAAATAAATTGTTGATTAGATTAGTTACACACACAGGGCAGAATGCACCAAATTCTGCACAATGTGGTACCTGATTCATTTGGGTAGAGCTCCCAGCACTTTTAGCATGCACCAGAGTATTTTTTTGTTTGTTTGTCTTGGGGGGGGGTGTTGTTGTTAGAGAAATGCTTTTCAAATGTGAGAAGTTACATCAGTCAAACCAGTGCACTGAGCTGGAACCTGAAGCCACACTTCTCATATCCAACATCAACACTCCACCCAGTGGTACCACATATCAAGTTTTTATAAGAAGGATGCTATAAATGGCTTGCTTTTTAAGCTTATGTCTTTCACTGAAAGAACCCTTTTAGAGACCACTGGAGACCACATTTACTACTCATTCACTGAACAAGGCTTAAGAATTTTTTGCTTTCATTTGATAACTCTTTCCAGAGAGAAGCTTTCTTGAATCACAGGCACATTTGAAGCTAAACTGGCCATTAAACATGTATTGTGTGTGCAGGGGTGGCGGGGGTGGGGGAAGGAGAGAAATAACGTTTCCGTGGCACATCACATTAAATTGAAGTGTGTATTCTGTATCACCTTAAATGTAACTCTTCCCTGCAGCCTTTAGCTATTCTGGCTTGAATGCTCTCCTAAGTGGATACGTGATATTACACTGGATTCTGCTATTTGCATTATAAAGCCATTATACAGGTTTCAGGCATGCGACTGGAAGCAGGTGCTGCGCCCTGCCAAAATACACATCACTCTGCTCTTTATTTTCTTTTAGATTACTCCAGTTGGCTTTTGCCACAGGTAGGTCAGAGCCTTCCGAGTGGCTTCTATTTTTCCGCTTTCTTAACTACACTTAAGCCAAATTAATGTACAAATTAAATGTCACTGAAGTATTTATATAAGAACTTGCCATAGACTGAAAGAGCCACCTAACAGCCAACAAGGGGGATATATACAACAGTGCACTTTAAAAAAAATGTTCACCATGCTTTGTGACTAGTATTGAGTTTGACCTCTCAGCATCCCTGGGAAATTTGTCATTATTGCTTGCTTCTTTTTTAAAGGTACAGAGCTTGAGGCTCCAAGAGAGGGAACTTGGTATACAAGGCCACCCAGTAAATTATGGCTAAGCAAGTATTTGAACTACAATTTGCCACGACTCTGCTCAAGGGGCCACTTACTAAGTGATACCATTCCAAACTTTTTTGAACTCATAGATAAAAATATACGTGCATATATTAATGAACTGCATATACATTTGCTTCCCTCTGTGAAAGGCAGCTCAGAATTAATAATGAGGAAAATGCAAAATCCTAGTAAAAGGTAAAGGTTCCTTTGCTCGAAAGCCAGTCGAATCCGACTCTAGGGTTGCGGTGCTCATCTCCGTTTCAAAGCCGAAGAGACAGCGCTGTCCGAAGACGTTTCCGTGGTCATGTGGCCAGCATGACTAGACACCAAGGCGCACGGAACACTGTTACCTTCCCACCGAAGTGGTACCTATTTATCTACTTGCAATTTCTTGCTTTCGAACTGCTAGGTTGGCAGGAGCTGGAACTAGAGATGGGAGCTCACTCCATCATGCGGCACCCGGTTCTCGAACTGCTGAACTACTGACCTTCCACAGCCTGCAGTTCACCATCTTAACCACTTGAGCCACCGCAGCTCTTTTAAAATCCTAGTAATGAGTGATAATTCACCCTCTTCAATACACATGAAGATAAAGGCTTGTTCATACATCTCACCAAGGCTTTTTTTGTAGAAAAAGCCCAGCAGGAACTCATTAGCATAATAGGCCACACCCAACAACAGGAACTCATTGGCATATTAGGCCACACCCCTGAAAGCACAGCTCATTAGCATATTAGGCCGCACCCCCATGTTACCAGAAGTGTCGACATCCAACCACACCGACCTTTTGCTTCTTATTCTGTTTACTTGTTTGTTGTCAAAACCCAGGGCTTTTTTTGTAGCAGAAACTCCTTTGCATGTTAGGCCATACACCCCTAATGTAGCCAATCCTAATGAGTCTCTGCTGTTGGGTGTGGCCTATTATGCTAATGAGATCCTGCTGGCCGTGGCCAACTCGGGAGCCATCCGGAACTCCGTTCCTGTGCGTTCCTGCCCAAAAATAGCCCTGCATCTCACAGCACAATTTGGTGACTTTTCTTTGCACTGCTTCTTAGACAAAACAGGTCTTCCAAACACAGGTGCTACTTTTCGCTATTCTTCACCTATTCCTACCAACACTGACCTTGGAAGGCTCTATCAGTAGTGTGACTGTTCCTCAATGTTCTTTTTCTTTTCATTTTTCACTTCTTTTAAGTATAAATTATAGGCAATCAACAGAGAAGAGGCCTTTGTTTCGCACTTGCCCTGTTCAAGCTTGTTCATGCAACATCAAACAACGGAGTGGCATTACAGTTTGGAATCCTGAGCTTGCTTCGAGGTTCCAAACAGGTGCAGCGAAATACATTGTGTCTTTCTATCTCAGGCTGGAACTAGATATTATGAAAGAGGTGTGCCTACCACTGAGATGGTACTTCTGCCTCCCTGTTCTCCCTCCCCGCCTTCTAAGATTTAGTGAAACGCACTGTATCATGTGTCGTCGTCATCATTGGACATAGAAAGGATAACATTGAACAATTCTCCAAGATATTAAGATCACTCTTTGATTTATCAAATGGGATCACATTTCCCCCCCCCCCAGCCAATACAAAGAGCTTGAAGGGGGCATCGGTGGGGCTATCTCCTGCAATAACTGGTGCAGGGCATTGGACTCCTTAGTATGTACATAAGGTAATGTTTCACTAAATTGTGGCTGCGGTCACACGGAGCATTAGGCACGCTAGAAGGACGGAAGATAGGCGGATTTTCCGGGCGCGATCTCACCGCCACATCTGGGAAGCGTCGAGCTCCCGTGGGGAACCAGAGGCTTCCCGCGTAAGATGTGGGGTAAAAAACTAGTACCTCGGATGTACTAGTTTCCTGAAACCGCGGGGCAAGGGCGGGCGTTTGATCACGTTTCCGGTGGTAGTTCCGGCGCCCGCCCATGTCCCCTCGCAAAAAGGGTTTTTTCCCCCCAAAGTCTCCATGGATGCGCACAAGCACCCAAGGGAGCATGCGCACATTTGAGTTAAAAAAAACAACAACCCCGTTCGCCCCGCGCCCCGTTTCTTTGCCGCACTGCAGGACTGTGGAGTGATCGGCACCTCCCCCCTGCCACGGGACCTCCACGGTAGGTCTGCTCACGCAACCGCACATTTTTTAGCCCCGGGGCAAACAGCCATGCCCCCCCCCCGCATTTTCCTGCCCGTGTGCCCGCAGCCTGTGTTTAGAATGACTGAGCCAATGGCACACAACGCTACAGTCAAAGTGCAACCCAAAGCAGAATCGAAGTCAATGGGCTTAGAAGCATATAATGACAGTACAGTAGACTTGTGAGCCTGACAACTTAGACAGTGGCCCTTTGCAGTTTTCAGATGCTGATTAAGTTTAGCATAGGACACGTCAGTGCAGGCTGAAGATTCCTCCCTCTTTTTCTAAAAACCCACTTCAAAAATATCCTCCCCTGTCACAGTTGGACTTTTCAGCATGATGACATGACGGGAGGCCTTTTTTATTTAAAGCATTCTACAGATACATTTATTATTCAGATAGGCTCCCCCTGGAGAATTTGAGATGAATAGGAATACATTATCAGACTTCATCAGGAAGGGAGAAAGGATACGCGAAGGCAAGGCAACAGCCTATCAGCTGTCATAGTTCTCCCCGTTTCGGAAGCAACCAATCAAAATGATGGCTTGCTCATTCAATCTTTCCAGGAGAAAAGAAAAATAATTTGCAAAAGCACTTCTGAATTAATGACACAGAGGCTTCTCGGGTTGTCTCTCTTGTTGACAGCAAGCTCCTGGAATCCACGTTAGTCAATCAAGTGTCAGCCTTGTTCTTTTTCGCTTACCAACAGCTTGCGACTGGCTGCACTCTCAAGGGAAAATACATATGTAAACCTGGCATTAGCTGGGGTTATTCTAGTGTCAAAAAAACCAACTGAAAGGCAGATTTCCCCCCCCCCCTTTAGGAGCTATGAACTTCCATCCCTCTGAGCTTGAGGGCAGTATCTTGTTTTCAAGTTGACCCAGGCAGCTATCAGTGGCTTTTTCACTGAAGCTATATAAGACAGATTTCTAAGACAGACTTTCAGTTGACTTTAGCTGAGTAAATGTCCACATATATATTTGTCAAGGCTGTATAGCGGTTACACCATCAATGCACATCAGCACAGCCAAGAGTAACGTAACATGTGTGCTCAAGTGATACAGATCATGTGTCATTTTTTACTACATTTCTGTTTGGGTGTAGATGATGGCCGTCTGAAATTAATGTGTCTTGCAAATTACCGAAGGCTTTCAATCTTACCTCAAAGATAAATTTTGAACTTCCAAAATTTGTCTTCTGCTTCTGCCAGAAGTTATCGGGCTTGATTATCAGGGCAACATGAATTTCTGCAGGGAAGGCTTCCTGAAGGGTCTTCAGGAGGGGCTTGATCAGGTCCCATTTTGAGCCCCTCATATCAATGATGACGGTGAACCCTCGTTTGCAGACATCTTCGCTGTTGGGATAAAACACGGGGTAAATAATACGCCTTCAGAATTAAAGGGCAGGACTCACATAAAGATGAAACTGCCAGCAAACTCAAACCACGTCTCTTCTGGCTTTCATCTATGCAGAAGGTCATGTTACACTCCTCTTAAGCATCTTCGCTGAAGTGAATCCTTCTGTTTATCCAAGCAACTTGTGCCCTTGCTCAGCTATTACCACTAAGACTTTTTTATATCTTCAAAACAACACTGTGTGATACAGTTCATTATTATTCCCAATAAGAAATGTAGGTTGACATGGTTTGACCAAGGTGACCCAATGAATTGCTGATTGAAGTAGAATTTGAACCTAAATATGTTTCCACAGTGGAAGGACATTCACAAATAAAGCTAGCTAAAAAGAATACTGAAATGTCACGCTTTACAATGTTTTGGAGCTATAAGCACAGAGATAGGATCAGACCAGGGGTATTTTTTTATGTCTCTCTTCCTCATCTTTTTTTCTTCCATTGTATTATGTATATTATCTAAATCTTGTTTTCTTTTTTAAAAAGAATTAAATTTACAAAATACCATGTTATCTCTCACTTTTTATACTCACAACAATCCAGCAAGGTAGGCTACGCTGGACTAGTCACTGGCTCAAGGATGCCTAGTGAATTTCATAGCAGATTTGAAACTGGGACTATGTAGTCTTAGTATAACAATCGAATCATAATACACTGGCTATCAAAGCACAGATGGGCAGCATAGTGGGAATCACTCAGTCTCTAACAGGAAAGTGAAATAAAATAAAAATTAAATGCAGCTTCCAACTGTCATAAATAAAGCAAGAGAAAGTGTTGTTCACCATCAGCGATGTCACTGGCATTAGCCAATAGGTACTCACACAACTTCGATCTATAATCATTCTGTGCAGGCAAAGTACTGGCTGGGAGAAGAATCATATTTAACATAGGCTGCGGTCACACGGAGCATTAGCCACGCTACAGAGACGGAAGATAGGCGGATTTTCCGGGCGCGATCGCAGCGCCACATCTGGGAAATGTAGCGCTCCCGTGGCGAACCTGAGGCTTCCTGCCGAAGATGCGGGGTAAAAAACTAGTACCTCCAAGGTACTAGTTTCCGGAAACCGCGGGGCAAGGGCGGGCGCCTGATCGCGTTTCCGGTGGTAGGTCGTAGCATCCAGCGCCCGCCCATGTCCCGTCGCTAAAAGGTTTTTTTCCCCAAGTCTCCACGGGATGCGCACAAGCACTCAACGGCGCATGTGCACACTTCGTTTAAAAACAAACAACACAGCCCCCTCCTCTTTTTTGCACCCCCCCCTCCTGGCTCGGCCTGCTTGAGAGGAACTCTCTGCACCGGGCGGCAGAGGGGGAGGTGCAGGGGGGCGTGGCGGGAGGGCGGCCCGGCTGAAGCTCCTCCTGGAGGGGACCGGACAGAGGACACAGTTTGCATTCCTCTGCAGCCCTGGAAGGGGTTAAACCC